CATTTTAAAGGCTACTTTCACGTATAAGGAAAAGAATGTGATGTGATTATTTTGCTCGAATGTGGAGCCCGCGCTTCTGCAGGCAGGCGCCAGGAGGGGCCCGGATGTGTTAAATTAAGTTGTACTCTTTCTGATCCCTCCTAGGCACAGTATGGCATTTCGTGTGGTGTCAGCCATTTTGATTCCGACACACCGCACTCAATGGCTGATGTCAATGCGTCATCTTCATTATGGTATGGCAAGTTGCGTTCAACCGACACGGTTCGACGTTGTGCGGTTGAAGATTTCATTGCGGAAATGAATCTTATTATTCACAATACCCCCGATGCACCACCAACTTTTTGCAACCCAATGGGTGAGTCTTCTATTGACGTGACGCTTACGCGCGGCGACGTCTCGATATCCGGATGGCGTGTCCTTCCGGACGCATCCTGTAGTGATCACCGCTTGATCGTGTACGAATTCACACCAAGGGTTGCACAGGATCCACAAAGGGTTCCCTATAATTTTAGATATAAAACTAAAGGTGCGAACTGGGCTTTGTTTGGTTCACTCTTTGCAACTCATACCAAAGACTTCAGTCGCAGTAGTTTATCAGCTGAGGAAAGCGCAGAAATACTATCAGAAACTTTTACATACTGCGCTGATGTAACTATTGGTCGCGGATCTATCACTAACACTCGTAGATGTGATTGGTGGAATGATAGATTAGCCGAACTACGTAGAAGCTACCGGAAAGCTCGTAGAAAATTAAACACTATTAAAAAACATAACGTAACAGGAGATTTGTACAACATTGCTCTCATTGCTCTTAGAGTTGCCAGGTCCCACTACAGAGCTGCTGTGGAAAAATCCAAGGGAAACTTAATTCAGAAACTTGTTAATAAACTCGATAGAGAGGGCCCGTGGTCACCTTTGTATCACGAATTTAAGGCAAATAGATCAATCGACCACGCATACATACAGAACATCAAAATTAATAACAGATATACCACAGGAGTAGAACAAACAGCAGAATATCTTTTAGACTCACTCGTACCTGACGATCGACCGGAAAACGACACGGATCATCACCGACAGATCAGGCAGTGGGCCATCGAACCACCACTGTCTCCAATGTCTGATTTACCATCTTCAGACGAATTTCTCGGTATCATTAGATCCTTGCCGCTAAACAAGGCTTCGGGTGATGATAAAATATCTAACAAAATGATAAAAGAAGCTTGTAAACTTTCGGGTGACACGATTTTCACTGTCTTTAAACGTTGCATTGCTGAAGGAATATTTCCTCGTATATGGCGGTGCGGTAATATTCGTATAATACCAAAAAGTGGCGACAAGCCACCGGATGATCCTAAATCCTACCGACCAATCACATTGTTACCATCGTTAGGAAAGCTTTTAGAACGTCTTGTAGTGCCCCGGCTTCTGCCAGGTGGAGTCAAATTTCATGATAGACAATTTGGATTTACGTTGGGTAAATCGACAACTGACGCTGTTATATCGGTTAGAAAGTTTGTCACAGAGTCAAAATTTCAATACGTGCTGGCTATTTTCTTAGATATATCTGGCGCCTTCGACAACGCATGGTGGCCCATGCTGTTGCTGAAATTAAAATCACGGGGGTGTTTTAAAAATATTTATTCCCTTATCTCTTCGTACTTTTCACAAGGTACAACTAAACTAAGACTTGGTCATCATTCTGTGTCGAAGGCGCTTACAATGGGATGTCCTCAGGGATCGGTGCTAGGTCCATACTTGTGGAATATCGGCTTCGACGATTTTCTTACGATACCAATACCATCCGGATGTACTCTGAACGCGTATGCTGATGACGGCTTATTACTGGTGGAATCTGATACTAGGGCGGGGCTTGAGAGATTAGCCAATAGATGTTTGAACTTGATATCTCAATGGGGTGAACGTAATCGCTTAACTTTTGCACCCAACAAAACCTTCCAGTTACTTTTAAAAGGTAACCTCAAATCACCGCCGAGCATTAGATTTGACAATGTTACTGTAAAAAATAAAACCACAGTGTGTTATCTAGGATTAGTTTTAGAAAGAAACTTTTCATTTATCGAACATATTAAAATAGTTAATGAAAAGTCTAAAAAGAGTTTCTGTGCATTGACAAGGGTATCAACTGCGACATGGGGTCTATCATTTAATACATTAAAGATCATATACGGAGCTACTTATTTAGGTTCTATGTGCTATGGTGCACCTGTGTGGGCCGATAGGGCGACCGTAGGCGCTGTCCGTCGCAAACTGTTACAAGGCCAACGACTTGCACTGATATTTTTGTGCAAGGCATATAGGACGGTTAGCACTGAGGCTTTGCCGGTGTTGGCAGGTGTCCTTCCGGTCGATCTCGAGGTGCAGAGACGTGCAGCCATGTACTATTCAAGACAAAACATGGAATGCGATTTCTTGGGCGCGCGGGATCGCGGTAAAATTACAAGATTGCTTCAACAGCAGTCCGATGTCTATAATGACCTCATAGACGAATGGCAGCAACGCTGGGACGAATCATCCAAGGGGCGCCATCTTTACCAATTTTTTCCATCTGTTCGCGAACGGTTGTCGAGGACATGGCTTGAGGTGGATCACTGTGTCGCTCAATTTCTTACGGGTCATGGTAACTTTAAGAGCAAGTTGTATTCATTTAAATTAGTCGAGTCACCATTGTGTCAATGCTCAACACCTAACTCTCATTATGAACAGTCTGCTCATCATATCCTCTGGGAATGTAGTCTTTGGTATAATGAACGTAATATAATGCTGAATAGCTTGCAGGTGACATCTGGGGCGGTATACTATGGGGATCTTGTGTCAACTAGGGTGAATTTCCGTGCGTTTAGGCGATTCTGCCATACATATTATAGAAATCAAATATAGCTCATGTAGGACCCGTAATATTTTGTGGCCGTGGTGCTTCCCTGTTTAAAAGGGTGTATGCCTATTTCACTTCATTTTGTCTCCCGCTTTGCTAAGGAGGGAAGTGGATTTACTGTATTTCCAACTCCTCCAATTTTCTTCTGATTAATTTCGTTGCGGGTTCCAAGACAGTTTAATTTCTTCCTGGGACTTCCCGAGTGTCATAACTCGGTGTGTTCGTGGGTCACTGCTGTGGATCCTGGTGTACAGGAGTTACAGTGGTGGGCGTGTGGGTGGGATTAGTCCCAACAAAACACCGCACTCCGCCTTACCGAATAACTCGATGAGGTGACGGCCCGAGGGGTTCCCACACGTACAAAAAAGGGTAAGAAAGCAAATTTTGTGTAAAGATCGTGATGTCATAAGCATTTATAAGCTATCCGACTTCTTGATGGTAAGAAGTCGGATAGCTATAGCTAGCTGTATTTTTTCTTACGAATTTAAGTGTAAACAAAATATTCCTATTTAAAATATATTAAAAACAAAACACTTTCTTCTTCTTCCTCCGATCCTTTTTTCCAAACTAGCTTGAGGTAGGTTTTAGTTCTACTCCCTCCCTCCTATTACAGGCGCAGAGTGGCACATCGTGTGGTTTTAGTCGGTCCGATTCCAACACACCACCCCGCCGTAAACCCCGGTGGGGTGACGGCCCGAGGGGATTTCCACACGTAAAAAAAAAAGGCTTTAGTTCTACTATGATACGGCTGAACTTCGATTTAACAATAGTAATTAAAATTCATGATCTTAATTTGTAAACAACTGAAAATTGAATTCCGTCCAATTGTCATAATTGCTTTGAAACTGCCGGTTGATTCCGCAACACGAATGAGTCATTAGAAGTTTACTGCACACTGATTGCATGAGGAACACAAACGAAACGTGTAGTTAAACAACATTGTCTTCAATGAAAGCATTGGTGCACTTTCTAGAGTGTGTTTAAGTCACATGGGTGATTCTTCGCTCTTTTTACTTCTGCGTCATTACCCGTACAAAAAAATATATTGAAAAAGTAAAATAATCTTTCAAAATAAACTATATTATGTATCTTATTTAATTTTTTGTCATTATGTCATGTGCTTGGTTTAAATAATTGAGTATTTTAGAACAAAATTATCAACGGTGAATCTAATTTCAACAGAGGGTAAAGGACGCAGAAAACTAAAGAATTTGAAGAAACTATCATTTCTCCACATACTAGAGTTTAATATTTCTTTGGTTCTGTAAATGATTATTGATATTTATTTCTGCAAGTAAATCTTTTCAGATATTTTTACGACCGTACATTATGGTTGTTATAAAAAAAAACTATTGGTTCAAAAATTTTATTGTCTGTGCTTATGACTATTTTATACATTAATATCTAAGGTAACTATAGTTTATTTACCACCTATTTTGACTATGGGCACGACGCAGCGTATCCCGTTGAGCTCATGCTCAGAAGTTTCTTCACATAATATATTCATAAGGCAGTGATGGTTCCATAACAATAAAATTACAGAATGATAAATTTTCAAACCCTTACCGAAACGACTTTAAGTCGTATATAAAAAATAAATAAAATCATAACTAATCGTTATCTAGCTATACTGACCAAATATCTACATTGGGCTCGCACGGAACCACACTTCGTCTCAGTTTAGAGAGAATCAAATAAAAAACCGCCTCAATGTGCGGATAATTAATCTGAAAACACGGCGGTGCTCCGTACTGCGATAAAAGCGCCGAAAAAATCCTAATAATTAATTTTACAACATTTATCTGGATACTGTTCCATTTTCAGGTTTAATAGAGAAATAAAAAAGTAAACAAAAGGGGATACCTAACACGCTTTGGTTTGGATACAATTATAATATTTATATTAAGTAAAAAAATATTTCGTAAAATTCATTTTTAGTATCATTGCTTATTCTATATATTGGTCAGGATCAAGATTGCAAAACTACCACGTAATTTTGGCATTCTGTTTGCTCAGGCTTTGCTGCAGAAATGTTTTGTAAATGACGACATTCACACTAAGAAACAAGAAAGCAATCACACACTAATACCTATAAGTCTAGTCATCAATCAGACCGCACTTCGCAGATAAAAAACGTTTCAAAGGAGCATGGAGAGTCATTCCATTTTAAACCCTTGTCGTCTCTGTTCCACAATTCCAAGCAATTCTCTTCTTCTCCATTTTCATAGCGGAAGTTGTTGGGCTCTCCAGCGTTCCAGTTCACGAAAGTAAGTGGTCTGCCGTTGGCCATCCAGAAGAAATTACCTTCTTCCGCTAAATCGGTACCGGATGTCCAGAAGTGTTCTCGACCATATCCTGAAAAAAGAAGTTGAGCGATTGAAATATGGGAAATTGCAAGTAATTTTAAGTTCTATTTACTTTATTAAATCAAATTAGGGGGTAAATATAAAAGGAATATGTGATAATATTTATAAAAATGCCTATAATTTTAAATATTAAGTTCTCTATTCCTACGAGTACATCGGTTGAGAATGGAGCATCTTTTCAAGGACCAAGCATGGACGTCGATGTCGCTCGTAGTTGTACTAATGAAAATTTTATTATAAATGTCATTAAATATGGAACATTACAAGGAGAATGATTGTTATGAGTTTTCAAACTCAAACTCAAAATATCTTTATTTAAAAAAAAAAAATGTTTGAAATCGTCTCTTATGTAAACTCTAAAGTCATAGATTAATACGCACAACAGCAACAATCTCTGTTTTGCCAAATATTTAGCAAAATAAATACACACATATCGAAAATCTATTAGATGCCTCTGCCGCTCTACAACCGCCCGTTTCCAAGGGGTTGAGTCTTATGAGAAGAAAGGGCAAGCAAACTTACAGCCACTATTTTTTAAATTAACAGATAGATACAATGGCATCATTAAATATATCAACATTGTTGCGATATGTGCCAGTATATCAGTTATTAAGGACTAAAAGGTAAAAATACAATGAAGAGAAAACAAGATTAAGAATAAAGATCGAATAAAAAAAAAGTGAAGTGAAACATAAAAAAACAAAAAAATAATTATAAAGCACTAGCCCACATCACATGTCCACTACCTGTGCGACATCAGTTTAGGTTTTATTGTGAATTTAATTTTGTTTATACTCGTACTTAAGTCTTGTATACTATTTGGGATTTTAATATAAAATCAGACACATTGGAGGTAGGTACAACAAGTTTTAGTTATAGTTTATTTTCTATGTCTGGTATTTAAATAATAAATGATAATCATGACGTAAAATAATACTCGTATTTATTTACCTGAGTCTTTAACGTATTGCTCGAGTTTATCATTTTCCTGCTGAGAAGAGATCGATGCCAGGTGCATGCCGTGGAACCGGCAGTACTGTTGCGCCTTAAACCAATTCGCCTGAAACAACAAAATGAGATATGGTTACCAGTTTTATGTACATATACAGTAATTGTTTGTCTTTTGGTGGTAGTGAAAATGAAACAGATGGAAGTTTAACTGTAGTAGTTAGAAAAGATTATAATAGATAGTCGTAGATGATACTGCAATTAACATTGCCAAGAAAAAATGATGAGACAGGTGGGTCGTTACGGTCTTTAGTTAGTAAAAGGTGACAAATATATTTCAATACTAGGAAATACAGCTTTCCTACCACGTCGATTTGAAATATATAATTCTTAAAAAAGAAATAAGAATTTTAATGGAAACGATGAACTTGGCGCCTCGGCACCAGTGGTTGAATGATAGACTATTGGCATGCGCGGTGCGGAAGCCGCATACTAAGTAGGTTAGGAGCACAAAAGGTAAAACGGTGGGTGACCGAGTGTCGTTGCGTACACTTGTGGTTAGACAATGACTTTAGTTGCTGAACGTAAATCAATTTAATGGCGATGAGACAAAGCTCATTACGCATGAAATTGGTCATGTGTTCATAGTTTTATGACTGTTTTGAAAGTTAATGTGTTAGAAACGTATTGGTATTGCAATTGTAAGGATTTTTGTTTATGTCTTGGGTTTGGATGGCACATTTGTTGTATGTAAGTAGAAAACAGCCTGAGACGCGAGCGAAATTGGTGATCAATGGATAAGATGTCGTTTTACATCATCGATTATAATCTGTAAAAAATAGCCTAGATTAATAAATATTTAATGGCTTTTATTACTGATAATACAAGATCTATTGCACTGTAATTCAGAGATTGCATTACCCACGTTGAATAATTTTATAATGACATTTAAATGACCTGATCAAGTGATCTTTACCCATATGTTCATACCTAGTGTGAGCATATAGGTAGGTGAAGTGATGACATGTGCAAAATAGATAATAAAAAACATACTAACAGACATCGGCATGAACTTTAGTCGCACGTCTAGAAAAGTATTAAATATGGAGATACAACGTACTCTACTAGAATAGTTTCTTCTCTACTGGTGAGAAATAGTCCCAAGATAACCTCTTGATAGAAGAAGATCTATAAAGACTAGAAAGAGTGCATGTCCCAGGATAAAATCTTGAGGGACACCATCGCTGTGCAAAACCTCATTACTATCAAACATCTGGATTTTGCCACACTGAGCTCTATTAGAGGCCCATGTAACATTTGAATGAGCACGACTCTCGATTTTATTCAAATATTAATTATGTTAAGTTATTAAAGCCATATTAAACTATCATTAGCGCTTTGAGATCACATAATTTATACAGGATAAACCCTTACCTATTCTATGATCTCAAACTTGCGGTTTCCTTACATGATTTTAACCAGTTTTTAATACTGAATCATCACAAAAACTCATTCATTGAATTTACCTACATCCGCTTATGGTTATTACACTAGACTTAAGCTGTAGACATAAAAATGTATCTGTTTAACATCTGTTTAACATTCGACGTGCAGTCAGAGGGACATTAACAGCTGGTTAATTACACAAGCCGTAGTTACGTCACAAGAATATGTATCAATATTACGAAGGTGTGTACACCTTCATAAATTAGTCGCAGAAAAAAAACGATTGGCGAAAGTTCGAAAGTTTTCGTTGGCGGTGTTTAAGTCTTTTCTGGTATAATTATAATTACGTGGCCAAATACCTTTATAATATTATAAATGTGTAGCGTGTTTGTTGATTTGCTCTCTTCGCAAAGAAAGGGAAGAACAGAATGTTTTATTCAGTTTATATATACTTCCCTTTTTCCAATTGAAATACGTGGTTGGGAAGGATTAGCTTATATTTGTATCGTAAATATACTACACTAAGTCGGGCGAAATTAGTATAAACTGACATTGAGGTGATTAAGTAGTAAGTGAGGATTGAATGCATCTAGGTCGTGATAAATTGGTGAAATCGATGTCTTAGTCTTATCTACTGTTAGTATTGAGAAATTATTAATTTTTGAATCTCTTTTTTAACTATGCCGTCATTGTGAAACATAATATAGAAATAAAATGGAAAAGGATTTGTTACTTTATTTAGTCAACTAGAAAAATGAAATAAATTTCATTGTTTTCATTATTTAGACTTAACAATCTTCTTGACTGGTTCCAAATTTTTACACCTCACGTGTTAACGTGTTTGAAACCGAGGCAGATGGTCCCTTCACTTCTTTTACAGGGTCCCTTCGGGCAACTAAACTAGTCGGGCATTTCCTTCGGATACATCCTTTTAAATTCTTTATTTATTTGTGATTGCCGATGAATTCTCTATTCGTAGTATTCGGCGTTTACTATGGCTGCTGCTGGTCTAAGAAACATGGATTTCTATTATCTAATTATTTCTGTACACCTTCAATTTGTTTATAATTAGACTTATAGCAATGTACAAATAAAGAATGTAACACAATATTACATATGTCAATCGTTTAGGTTAACAATTATTAATGTTATGTAACGCCACCGACACCCACTTTCTCTGTTAGACGACTATTGACGTGTTCGCTAAATGATTCAGCACATCTATTTTAAAGGCGTTGTGATAACAATATGCACTCAACAGCTTTCAATCCGGGTCGGATTGCCAATAACTACCTTCAAGAAGTGAACATTAATTGTATGGAGTGGCCAGCACCCAGCTCTGACTTCAACCCGATTGAGTATGGTTAGGACGAGCTTGGACGATGCTTGAGACAACAAAACCAAAGAATTGGTGAAATAACTGAAGCACCATCCTTACGTGCGTTATGTTTTATTTATTTATTTATACTTACTTTTAGTGAGTTTGTTTGTTCGATAATTAATGAAAGTTTAACACAAGCAAGGACAACCTAAGTTTGTAGATCATAGCCGTGGGAATTTTCTGTACGGAAAAAAGTTAAGCCTGATAAAACACATTTGACGATTAAGATAATCATAGTTCTTTTTAGTTCATTTTAGTAACCATGTCCAAAACGCTCTTGTTACTGTTGTCTGACGACGCAGCTATTAGATTCTCTAAATCTATTTCCTGACATGTCGATGCTTTAAAGGCCTAACATCAACAAGCTTGAAAAACAATCAACTAACATCCCAAAAATAGATGGTTTAATGTTACATGTAACAGTCTATTTTATAAATTTTGGCAATTGTATTGTCTAATGGTAGACTGTAATGCCTTAAATTCATAAGTTTACTGACTATTTTATCGCGTGTTGCCTATTGCATTTGCAAGAAGATCAATGATCTTCGAGCGATGTTATTATTACACGCCTTATGCCTTTGATATTCGCTCAGATACCTCTTTCAACACTTACGGAAATGGTCGGGGTGGCGGATATTTGCAGCCCTGCATCGACGCCGCAGTCTAAATTAACCGAGATATACATACTGCGATTTAGGTATGAGCGAATGCATCGCACTGCATGTTCGTTTTCAGGTAAATGTAGGTAGGGATTTTCGCTTTCGATAACGAATCTTAAAATATTTTCTGATGTAATACAAAAGATACCTTGAAACAACAGCCACTATGCATGTAGCCATGTATGCTTCCTATATCGCAGGGCCAATATAATTATATAATTAAACTGAAAACATAAAATACATCCAATTCATACATATTTTTTTTATTATTTATGGAGCACAGAACTATCAGTATTGGATTTGGATCCACTCTATACACTATAAGTCGTCTGTCTGTGTGCCTCGAGTTGCAATTTACAAAGATTTTATGTTAAAATTTTAAATGAATTATTATATAATAATATGGGATTCTTCGTGTTCAAGTGGCTTTGACTGACCTCATTTTAATTGAAGATACAACAAAATTATACGTTGTTCTCATGGTATGATTATTAACTAAATTAGTTTACAAGCTCTGAAATTACAGAACAATAGAGGAAGTTGTTATTTATTAACAATTGTTTATAACCGGAATTGACCTGCATATTTTGGCGGTGTAGTGGAATGTGAGATTTTGCGGTATTGCTGCAACGTGTGAGTATGTGAGTATGCAATGTTATACAATGAAAAATGTTTAGGCAATGAGTTAATGTTTTATGAAGTAGAGAGTAAATTATTATGAATTCAAATCCCAGTCAATGAAAATATTTGTATGCATAAAATTGGTCTGTGAATTTATATTTACATTATGCACGTATATGTTTCTCTTTCTTCTAGAGTTCATAGTATAAGTTGAGCTATGTTGAGTCAAGATAGCGCAACGTAATGTCGAAGAATATTATTTTATTATTAGAGTAGTACGATTAAGGGTACGGGTATTTAGGTTGTTGTGGCGAACCTTGAGGGAAGGGGGGTAGTGTCGATGTCCAGCAATGGACATCTTTCGGCTGAAGAAGAAGATGAAGGGTAGCATACTTTTTGCTTTATTAAGTACTAATAGTACTCTTTTCATGGTTCAAGCATAATTTGACTATTCTAAAGAAAAAACATGCGTATAATGTAGTTAAGTAAACATTTTAAAAAGCACTCATGACTATGTCCTTCTAGATGATGAACAGTATTCTTAGAACAAGGCATAGAAAATTTCCATTGGTTTTCATCACCTCGATTCTCAAAATTTTAAAATGCAACATATCAAAAATAAATATATAAAAGGTAATATCGATTTTCATTAAAGTTTTCATTTATTTACTAGTCAACCTTATGGCTTTTAACGTATATGATTAGATATTATCCTGAATTTTATTATCAATCTGTTCAACTAAAATTGTTTTTATTAACCATAAACTATGGAGGGTAGAGGCAAGGAGAACCATCTCCGTGTATGAAAAGTGTCCGTAAAAACGCGTTCAACAGGGGTGGCGCTGCGGTAGCCTAGAATAAATTTATATTGACTTTTAAATAATAATTATTATTTAAAAGCCTAATAATTAGACACTGTGTACTAGACTGCGAAAGTAGTCAATTAGTTTTACAGACAATAAATAAATATGTGATAACTTTCAGACGATAAAAATATTTTACCTA